TTTAACAGAAAACCATTCCAATTAAGTACTTTAAATACATTGTGCATTTAATATAGATCAATATGGCCCTTTACAGCATGTAATTTAAATGAATATTTTCGAAGATATTACAGATTTAAAATACAGGGACATAGTGGTTGCGGCGGTAATGGCCGGGAGGCCGGTTTGTATCGTCTAATGACAAAAAAACTGTGAATGTTGTATATAAAAACGATTCTCGACATTCTGTAGTATATTTAGTATGTTCAGGGGGTATCTTTCGAAAATTTCCCCTCCTCGATATTAATCTAAACAAAACAAAAATATATTTAGTATCAGTATTGTACCCATGCGAAGCTGGGGCGGGTCGCTAGTAGATTATAAAATAACCAAAAAGACTTACCTATATCTAATGTATACATTGAAGTTTACAGATACTTACATTTCCGTTTTAATTCACAGATGGCGTTCTTGCAGAGCCGCTCCATTTCATTGGTGGATATGTACATTGACAATTCGGAACCTTCTGAAAATGTAGGACAAATACATTTCTCCTTGGAATATGATTTTCAAAATACGACACTTATATTACGGATTATTCAGGTAAGGAGACACGGATAATATTAAATTAGCTCAAATACGATAAGTAATGAAATAATTACTACCACCGATCTTTGTAAGCTTTTTTCATAATTAGTAATTATATATAAATAAAATAAACTGAAATGAAAAGTTATCTTAAAAAAAAAAACGTATGAAGAACACGGAATACGAATGCTTATGCAGTAAATTCTATTGATCTTTGGAAATTAGTGATGATCCAATATCTATTCACTGGTTAGGGTACGGAACTCGGATCACACATAATTACCGCTAATTATCTAGTGAGGCCCTTGGCGCTTTATTGAAAGACTCGTTGGTTTTAACTAACGAAAATTTCATATCTTGTATAGGGGGTACCTTTCAAGTGTTATGAAAACAGCAAATTCCGCATTTACATTATTTTCACTGGACTAATAAACAATACAATAAATAATAGTAGATGCTATTGTACTTAAGGAAACATACCGCGTTATAAATTGTATATATTGAAAATAACGTAAGCTTCGCTATATTTTAAAACCGTCAAAAATCAACCATTCTTACAATGAACAAATTTTATTATTTCTCACCTGATTTTGAGCTTTTATTTCCTTTAAATTGTGTCACAATGTTTTAATATTTTCCGGAAGTTCAATTGGTGCGAGTAGTCTTTTATTGACAACTAACGAGGATAAATTGCGACTGTCCGCAGCCGATGTCAACTCTAGACAGGAAACCCTTACCTCTTCATTACATAGCTCATTTGCTCCTAATTCCTTCGTTGCTTCCGCTTTTCAGTTCTCGTTAATCCGTTTGGTTTACTTCAGGTCCAATTCTCACCCTAAAGCGACTTTTGTGTCATTAAACTAGTGTAATTATGATATATAATGATTAGAAAACTAATAAGGTAAAGTCGAAACACAATTTAAAAAAAAAAATCGGTTGTCTGTAAAGTCGGTTTACTGACGATAATTGAACGTGACAACGTCATAAGAAAATACTGATGGAATGGTTTCATTTTTCAAAAGAAAATTTTAATTTTATTTGTTTGATAGATATTTTGTATGGATATAGAGAAGGAGGTAAATGGAAATGTATTATTGTATAGCAGCTGTCCACGCGGACGCATCGTTCACTCGAGTAGGAGAGAGACAGATGTCGAACGCTGCCGAACGCGGAGGCCGATTGTGCCTCTTTGTCGCTCGTTCCGCGCTCTCGCTTACACTTCAAGCCTTATATGAGCGAGGTAACGCCGCATGAGTCATGTTTTTTCGTGCGTGCAGCCGGCTCCATCGAATTATAAGACGTTGTCACGTCAAAAAAGAAAATAATGTAAATATTCATCAAAAGTAATACTTTAATGTAACGCTAAATTGCATACTCAAAAATAGCGGACACCACCATTATAGAGAAAAGGATATGCTCAACACAAAACGCGATCTATTACAATACTATGTTTTAACGGCTTCGCTGGCGTTGATTTTTCTTTTATTTGGTTTAAATTGATAATAATATTTAGGCTATTAATACTATATATTTCAATTTAATTCCCAACAATTTACGCATGATATGAGCAACAAAGGTATGCTCGTTTCGATTTAGCCAACTCATGCCGGACGACCACATTCGACTCGTTTCAAACGAGTAGAACTATGCTCCTTCCCTTTAGCTGGATGCTTCAGGTTTCCTCAAGGTCACACTTCTAACCGTTTGTAGCGATAATTCAACGTATTATCTAATACGAATGATTATGTATTAGTTCGACGATTTTGCGACCTATTCGCTATGTGCAAAAGTGACTGTGGCGCTGTCTGTGGCCAATTTTGAAACTTCTCAGTGAGAAAAATACGTTTAACCTAAATTAAATACATTNCACCGACACTAAGAGGAGTGGGTAAATGTACCCCATTTGTATTATGTGACCACACCTATTGCGTTTCGGTAAACAAGCGCACACAGTTTGTAATAATCCAACTAATTTGTCGATACAGTTGCTTATGATATTGCTTTTGCTCCTTAGCTACCCATATACGACCAAATTTGAACACGCCCAACAGGTTATGCAACACTACATGATATCGTTTTTGTCAGCTAAATGCATGTCTGAACTGTGCGACGTCGTCCACTAGTTAGATCATATCTTGACATTCGAATTTGGAAGTACAACAACAAATATGGAAAAACAAACTGGATTTGCAATGAATTTCCGGTGTATAAGATGACGGCAAAGCTAGAAGACCGAACGACATGGTCTAAAGGTTTAGGTTATTGTTTAGCCTTCAGGAGAGCATTGGTTCAATTCCGGGTTCACTTGCTCCAATTCAGGTTTTTCTGTTGTTTCCTTGAATCACTTAGACAAATGCGGGGGCAAGAGTGTTCCAGAAATTATTTCACTCTCGACTGTCTTCATTTCGTCCTCATCTTTCTCACCCAAACCACTACCCACCCATTTCCACGATTCTTCAAAGGACGCTGAAGCACTCACTTATTTCCACAATTATTAAAGAAGGTCAACTTCCGTCCGACGACCCACGACTCTGCACGAAAGTATAGATCCTCCATCAAATACTGTGAATGACACCCATTTAAAATTTATTTTGTCTGGAGGACCCACAAATTTTTTATATGTTAGATTAGGTTAAGTTAGATCAGGGTGGGGTAAGTTACGTTAGTTCTTCTTCACCCCCATCTACTATCCCATCTTAAAACACGGTGTTCTACTCCTTCGTCCATTTTCCTATCTATGACATCTATACAATTTCTTATATTAACCGCCACACCCTACACCTTCCCGTTTCCACTCCTCAACCCGCTTTCTCCAAATCCGAGGGAGATACGATCGTCTGCACGATTACCAAAATAACATGATATGTAATGTCCTTTTAAAATCTATATTTAGCAAATAATTAGTTTTTAAGGGTACCGTATATACTTGCCACAAATATTTTTATCTTTACGTGTATTTTCAAAAAGATTTGTATTATTTTATATCAGCAAATTACCCATCTTTAACATTACCTTATTATTCACATTTAGTTCGAAGTAAATATGTTTCCAAAAGATTCTATCCAATTACTTTTGTATTCTACTGCTCTGTCTATATTCTTCTCTGTATAATAACATTATTATTACGTACTTTCATAATATCCCTTTCTATTTGCAAAATTTTGTTAATAATTAACTCCATAAGTAACTCAAGAGCTTTCTTTTGATATATATTTACTTCTGGCTTAATTTTAAGGATGGGCTTCTTATTAGGTTGTTTAAGTTCAAAATCTCTTTTGAAGTATTTTATTCGTCTGGACTTAACAAATATCATACTTCTGTATTGATTCCCCATTTTAGGCTAAATACCTTCAGCTCCTTCTTGTCTTCAGAACACGTATATATATATTAATTAATATATATATTAAAGCCTCGTATATCGAAATAAAATTATGAAGTTTAAGAATTAAAAAAAAATATAACAGAAGCTGCTCACAAATTCTAAAGTATGTGCAACAGTACAACGACAACGGTAAAAAATGAGACAATTCCTTCATTTGTGGTCGTGATGCTCATGAGATTGAGTTACTAGCAAACTGTGGGACTCTTTACTAATATAAATTTTTATGTAATCTTAGGGCCCTCATATGGCGAAAAGGGACCGACTTTTCTCGTTTCATCATCTCATCATCATCTTCGTCATCAAAGTTCCATCTTTTCTCGTTTCATCACTTTGGATGAAAATAAATATATTTAAACATTATGATTAGGAACGCCCTTAAAAAGCCGACATGTTTGAACACGTTTTATTATTAAGAATACACCCTAATATAGATAATAGAAAATCTCCCGAAAACGTAAAGTTTTCCAAATTCATGAGCAAAATTGAAGAATTCATGTTTCCAGTCGGGTTTATGAAAGGATTATTTATAATTTATGTATGAACATCCTTTCTCAACAGAACAAAATCGAAAAGAAAATATGCCAACACTTTTGAAGTGAAAACTTCTTTAGCATCGTTGTGATTTGAAAGTCGATGAAACGAAAAAGCGACAGTAAAAAGAGACAGACACATAAATTCATAAGATTTAACGTGGGAGGAAATGAGATAGGAAGCTTTATACAGTGTTTCTTATGTTCGTGGTTCTCTTTGTGCTCTGTATCGTACCCTCTCCACTCGTGTTTACCAGTCTTACCTAGTCTGCTTGGGCCTCAGCGTTGTACGCATCGACGTCTACTAATGGACGTGCCTTAGCGGTCAGAATTGTGGTACAACGAAAGAAAGAGATGGAACGAAGTTTCGGACAGTATCCATCTCTCTCACGATAGTGCGTAAGCGTGTCATGAAAGAGATAGCATTAGTCCGACTTTTTCGAGCCAAGAAATTATTACAATGACATACGGCTAAGGCACGTCCATTAATATATGTCTATGGTTGTACGTGTGTTAATATATTTGTGCGCGCATGCGTATTACAAAGCTTGAGGAAAGGCGTCACAACGACCGTGGTATTTTGTATACGTGTACGTATTATATGTTTGTAGAGTTTTTTTCATCATTTTTATAATAAAATTCTTCAAATATGCGAGATAATGCAAGATTACAATAAAATTGCGATGATTCTAAGTGGAGATATTAATGTGAATTTTGCATCGGATACAGCGATTCCGTTGATTGAGTTTTTGGTCGCCAAATTTAATTCGAAAATGTGCAGCAGTCACAGTGTATCAACAAAAAGATCAAAAGCAATAATTGACGCAGTATTTCATAAAGACATATTGACCGTATTAAGACCAAAGTATTTATTTCATACTTTAGTTACCATAAGCCTCTAGTATCATTTATCGAAAATGTAAGCTCTGAGTCTGAATAAATCTATGTAATATATACGAATAAAATGTAAAACAATTATCTAACTTTGTATTGCTATGATTATTACTAAAACCTGCAATTTTTACATTCGTTTCATTGTCTTGAAACCAAAATTTTTGAAGGTTTCGCTTCTACCACGTGTGAATTTCACACGTTTTGGTTTT